GTGGTATCTGACATGCGTACGTTGTGCAGTGATTACAGGGAGGTCAGTTGGCCTCGCCTAGTTACCGGTGTGTGTGGTGAGACTCTCAGGATCTGCTTCCTTAGCTACTTTCAAGCACACAACGCAGTGTTGCCACCCAGTCACCATCCCCAGAGCGGACCCATCGGTAACCGGAAGTGCATGCCCTGGACCACCTCCACCCGTCCCCCCAGCCCCTAACAACCACCAAAATATTCTTTGTTTTGATAAGTCTGTTGTTTTTTCTTAGATTCCATATACAAGTGAGATTATACCGTGTCTGTCTTGCTCTGCCTGGCTTATTCCAGGCAGCCTCATGCCCTCTAGTCCATCCCTGTTGCCACACATTGTGGCTTCCTCTGTCTCAGCTGAATAATCCCACATGTGTGTGTTCCACGTCTTCTTACCCACCCGTCTGTCCATGGACACTTGGCGGCTTCCGTGTCCTGGCTGCTGTGGCTAATGCTGCAGCGAACACTGGGGGGGGGGGCAGGTATCTCGTCAAGATTCCCTCCTCCAGCGATTGCATCTCCTTCGCACAAAACTCAGATGTGGGGTTGCTGGCTCTGTTTCTCGTCTGAGGAGCCTCCGTGCTGTTTCCCAGCGAGGCTGCGACAGCACCGTAGCTTTCACGCCTCCTCTCTATGGCCGTGGACAACAGCGGACCTCGATTTCACCACACGCTCTCATCCGTCCGATCACGGTCACGGTGTGTCCACCAGCCGTCACGTCCACGGACCCTGCAGCGGTTCGGCCACGTCCTTGCCCAGAACACGTAGGCCCCGCCCGCCTCTCCATCCATGTGGGAAAGCAATCGGGTGTTTTACTAAGATTTTCCAGGAAAGATTCATGTGGAAGAGATGTTGCAGTTCGAACCAGCTTTAGTTCCGAAACTTCTCACAGACGCAGCCCAGGAAACGGAAACCTTGGCCTCCGAAGAGCAAAGCCATGTCCAAGGGCGCTGCCTGCAGTCAGGCCTTTAGGCGGGTATTTGCTGCACAGGTTTCGCGATTCGCATTGTCCTCAGTGCCGCCACTGCTGGCTTCCCGTCTGCCAGGAGCAGAGCCCGCACCGAGGACTAGCTTGTCTGTTTTCTTTCCCGGGGAGGCCGCGCGGGCATTGCCGCTGCGAGAGCTCTCAGCCAGGGAGCGGCCCTCAGTGGGACCCTGAGCCCTGACTCTTGGCTGGGAAACATGGTCACAGCACCCCGAGGTCCTGGAGGCGGCGGTAGAACCCTCCTCGCGTGGCTAAGCAGCGGCCACAGATACAAGCAAAGAGGGTTTGAAGGGCCACGGGAAGGGGCCCGTCTCATCCCGCAGGGCCCCCCCCCAAGCAGGAGGCCCTGGTGCGCCCAGGTCCCTACTCAGGCTCAGTCCCCTGTGTGGTGCGTGCCTGCCAGGCCCCGCCACCTGCCTCACCGCACCCACCGTCCTCTCCCCAGGATGAAGCCGGCCGGGAGTGTGAACGACGTGGCCCTGGACGCCTTTGATTTGGACCGGATGAAGCAGGTGAGCACGTCCTCTCCTGAGAGGCTGTGAAGGAGCCTGGGGCTGGGACCACCCCAGTGGGGCCCTCAGTCAGTCAGGGAGCCAGCAGTGGAGGGGGTCGTAGCATTTGCGCCAGGCCCACCCCTGCCCATCGCAGAAATAAGCATCCCCTGCTGTCCCGGGCACACCATCCTCCCCCCGGCTCTGGGGTGTGGGTGAGGGTGATGCAGGGGCCGTGGCTCCAGAGGGAGGCCCAGACACCCCCACCCCTTCCAACACCTCACCCCGAGAGGCCGGCTTCCCATCCCTGCCCCTGAGGCTCTGCTCCCACAGGAGATCCTGGAGGAGGTGGTCCGAGAGCTCCACAAAGTGAAGGAGGAGATCATCGACGGTGAGTCGGGCTCACCCTGGTCCTGGGGGCAGGCAGGGCCAGGGCGGCCGGATAGCAGGCACCCAGGGCCCCAGAGGCCTTTGGCTTTGTGCTTCGGAGGCTTCCTTCCCCCGTAACAGCCCACAAGCCCTCCCCATTCTCTAGCCAAACAAACTGAGGCTCAGACGGTGAAGGGCCTGGCTAAGTATACACACCTCCCAGGAAGCAGAGCCATGTTGTGGCCCTGACCCGGCTCCCAGCTGCGTGGCCTGGGCTGAGGGAGCAGGTGGTGGCGCTCCCCCAAAGAGCCTGGTTCCAGAGGGCAGGGCCTGGCCACTGTGAGTCACACCCGCCCGGGCCCCCACTGAGCCTTTGATACAGCGGCTCAGATCTGGAGCCAGAGGGGAGGGCAGGGCTCCTGGCTCCCGGCCAGGCTGGCTCGGCCCTGGGACAGCAGGGAGGCGCCTCAGGCCCCACCTGCTCCCCACTAGCGGGGAGGAAGTCACAGCCGGGTGGCAGAGGGCTGCCGGGACTCTGGAGAGAGAGGAGGCGAGGGTGCGAGCCTACCTGGGTGACCAAGCCACACCCTGCCCTGGTCCCAGTGGAGAACACTGGGTTCCTGTTTGTCAGGTCCCCGCAGGCCTGAGCTGGACAGATAAGGAGTTAATGAATAGAGACAGCGAGAAGGAGCTGGAGCCAGGACGGAGACAGGCCAACTATTAACTCGGCTTCATAGCTGGGCGACCCCCAGGAGGGGCTGCCTGGGGCTGGGAGCAGCCTGTGTGGGAGGGA